ACGTGGGCGGCGGAATAGGACGACAGCAGCAGCGGCGGCGACAGCAGATGCAACTGCACATCCAGCAGCATCAGCAGCGGCAGCAGCAACGGCGGCAGCAGCAGCATCAGAATAGGATATTGGTTAGCAAGTCTTAAGCACACACTCATTTGCCAGAGAACGCAAAAACAATCCACCCAAATCACTCATTTCACTTGTAGCTTGATGTGGATCATGGTCAGCAGGAGCTGCAACATCAGAGGCGACACCAGCAACTTGAATTGCAGCAGCAACATCAACCATCGGTCAGCACATTTCCATTCACACTCGCCTGCTTGCACTTGTAGCCTAAGAACATGGTTGTCTTCTCCTGTTAGTTCGTGTCTAAGGGGGGAAACCTAAACTATTTGGCGTCTCGAAATCTGTCAGTGTGGGGAAAAACTCACATTTCTGTGTTTTTGTTGTGTGGCATGGGGATGGGGTATTTCAGCCGACGGTGTGCGGTAAGCAAACCGGAGTCCAACCCGATTGGTCACTACACCATCTATGTGTCTATGTTGCATGTTGACCCAAGATGAACTCTTGGTACTTAACTCCATAACGCTTTAACTTGCAGCTTTTTGTGTTACTATGTAGTTGCAGCTAAGACCTAAGTTAATCGATTAGTTTTAGTCTTTTGATTGTTTGCATGTGCGGCTTGTTTTGTGTTCGTAGATACTTTTCAATTTGAGGATTACATTTTAATTTGATCAACACTTCTTTTCTGTTTCTTCCAACAAAAAACAACAAACAAAAATACTTTACGCAATGCAATGCATCCATATGTATACATTTTTGCATCAAATAATCCATCCACCAATGACTAGAATGAAGACACCGATCACACAGACAGCCACAATCCCTCCGACATCTCAGCTCCGTCCACACGTCGCAATTCCGAGGAAGACAACGCGGCTGTGCCTCCAATGGAACAAGTAAAGTCGATTCCCCTCTATTTTTCCCCCATCCTAAATGCACACGAAAACGTAAATTGTGTTCGAGATATACTATCTGCATGTGCCAAGGATGTTTCGAAAGTGCACTAAAACATGTTGTGTGTGTGTGTGGCTGATGTTGTGCGGCAATCTTGTCTTGCAGAATGCCGGTGGAGAGGAGGAACCCCTGCCACCACGCTGGTCGATGCAGGTGGCACCCAACGGACGGACCTTCTTCATTGACCACGCATCCCGGCGGACCACTTGGATTGATCCGCGCAACGGAAGGGCCAGCCCCATGCCAAATCAAACGCGCCGCGTCGAGGATGACTTGGGTCCTCTGCCCGAAGGCTGGGAGGAGCGAGTGCACACCGATGGACGGGTCTTCTATATAGATCATAGTAAGTTATTGATCTCTATGTACGGATATCCATCCATTTAACTAAACTCTCCCTCCTTGCAGACACACGAACCACGCAGTGGGAGGATCCTCGCTTGTCTAATCCAAACATTGCCGGACAGGCTGTGCCCTATTCCCGAGATTACAAGCAGAAGTACGAGTATTTCAAGAGTCATATTAGAAAGCCTGTAAGTTCTTCAATCTCCCAGTCTTCTTTGGCAATTCACTTAACTCACATTTAACTTTCAGACAAATGTACCAAATAAATTTGAGATACGTATTCGCCGTACATCGATACTGGAGGATTCGTACAGAATTATTAGTTCGGTGACCAAGACCGATTTACTAAAGACTAAATTATGGGTAGAGTTTGAGGGAGAGACTGGCTTGGGTAAGTACTCCCGCTCCTAACGTTAGCTAAATACTAAACTTCAAGTCTCTGGTTGGCAGACTATGGTGGTCTCGCTAGGGAATGGTTCTATTTACTATCGAAGGAAATGTTTAATCCGTACTACGGGCTCTTTGAGTACTCGGCCATGGATAACTACACGCTGCAGATAAACAACGGCAGCGGTTTGTGCAACGAGGAGCATTTAAGTTACTTTAAGTAAGCATTTTTTAATATTCAAAGTAAAGCGTGTTGTTAATAGATGTTTTGACATCACAGATTCATTGGCCGCATTGCGGGCATGGCTGTGTATCATGGAAAGCTTCTGGATGCCTTCTTCATTCGTCCGTTCTACAAGATGATGCTGCAAAAGCCCATTGACCTGAAGGACATGGAGTCCGTGGACACGGAGTACTACAACTCGCTGATGTGGATCAAGGAGAACGATCCGCGCATCCTGGAACTGACCTTCTGCCTGGATGAGGACGTGTTCGGCCAGAAAAGCCAGCACGAACTAAAGCCCGGCGGCGCCAACATAGATGTGACCAATGACAACAAGGATGAATACATCAAGTGAGTGAGAAAAGTAATGCCAGGTGTCTATATCAAATGCTGAAACGCATTTCCAAATCCCTGTAGACTCGTTATTGAATGGCGTTTTGTGGCGCGGGTCAAGGACCAAATGTCGTCCTTCCTGGACGGCTTCGGATCGATTATCCCCCTGAATCTGATTAAGATATTCGACGAGCACGAGCTGGAACTGTTGATGTGCGGCATACAGAACATCGATGTGAAGGACTGGCGCGAGAACACTCTGTACAAGGGCGACTACCACATGAATCACATTATAATCCAGTGGTTCTGGCGGGCGGTGCTCTCCTTCTCCAACGAGATGCGTTCGCGTCTGCTTCAGTTTGTGACGGGCACGTCGCGCGTGCCCATGAACGGTTTCAAGGAGCTGTATGGCTCCAATGGCCCCCAGATGTTCACCATCGAGAAGTGGGGCACACCCAATAACTTCCCAAGGGCACACACCTGGTGAGATGCGGCAAACACCCTTGCTATAGCTAAACGAAAACTTTTCGCTAACGAATTTCCAACTACAGCTTTAATCGTCTCGACCTGCCGCCCTATGAGGGATACCTGCAGCTGAAGGACAAGCTGATCAAGGCCATCGAGGGCAGCCAAGGATTCGCTGGAGTTGATTAATAACACCGGCAACGGGAGTGCAGGCGAATGGCTTTGGCTGGAGGTGCAGCGGCAGCTTCGGCAGCGCCAGGAGGAGGAACAGCTACAACGATTACACACATCACAAGAACCACAAGATCAACAACAACAACGACTTGAGCAGCAGCATCATCAGCAGCAGCTAAATCAGCGGCACAACCGCAACCTCATTGCATCCACTTGGAATAGCAACGCCAGCAGATCGTGTACTTATTTGTTCGTTTGCTTTTGTATTATAATCATTTTTGTTAGTTTAGTGTTATTTCGTATGTATTTTAACTAGGCGCCAAAACTCACACACAACACATTCACACACAGACACACACACCTTATACACACTGTGGCGAGATGGATCCAAATAAAGCTGCGCATGGTGAACCACAAGAACCTAACAAAGAGTCCAAATTATCTATAAATATATTTATTAAATTGCCGACAATTGTAAAAAGTTGAGAACGTTTTACAAACTAAGAGAGAAGAGAGAAGAGAAAAATCCAAACTAACTATTAAATCTATAGAGTCAAAGTATATCTTGTATGTATATGCAGAGAAACCTTTTTATAATTGTTATTTTTATGCGCTATTCCTCGATACATGCCCACAGCAAATACCTAAAGGCGAGAAAAAAAAAGAAATATAAAAATAATTGCAAGTTAATATTTGTAATCTGATGGTCGCATATTTTTAAACGAATTAAATTTTCTATTCTGTGTAACTGTATGTGTATTCATAATAATTATAATGTTAGTTCGTAAAAGTCGCTCTTTACTATTAAATAAAAAGACAAACATCAAATATATATAAAAAAAGAAATCTAATCTAATACTTAAAAAGAAATACAATCAATGTATATTGTATAATTGTTAATTATATACAGACACACATTCCAAATGTTTATTGCGAAAGAGAAACTCTGCAAAAGGAGGCCTATATGATAATATGATTATTGACCTATCGGAAGTCTATCAAAATTAAATTTTAAAATCAAATTAAGATGTAGAAAGAAAGGACTGCTGAAACTTCTGTTTCAAAGTCAGAGAGCGACACAAAGAAACAAAAATACCAATAAAAATGGTTACAGTTAAGTAATTCGAAATCTCGATTTGTTTTTAAATTAGATCATTTAAATTGATAGTTTAAGATGTTCAAATTGACTTCACAGCCCTTCCAATTCCCCACGAAACACACGATTTGTATGTGCGAAAATATCAGATTATTTTACTCAAAGCGAACAACCACAAACTTAACGAGAGATGCCGGTGTGCTCGTGGATCCAGTCCAGGTAGCTGGTGGTGCGGGTGAAGACGGCGGGGTACTCCTTCTCGCAACCGGCAGCGGATCCGAAGGAGGTGAGACCGACCTGGACCTTGTCGGAGGCCAGCACCAGAGGGCCACCGGAGTCGCCGTTGCAGGTGGAGACGCCGGCGGGCGTGGACACGCAAATGTTCGAGTCGCGGATGGTGGTGTAGTAGGTGCGCTTGCACTCGCTGTTCGAGATGACCTTCATGTGGGCGTACTGCAGATGGGCGGCCACGGCGGTGGCGTCATCGGAAGTGCGGCCCCATCCGGAGGCGATCACCTCATCGCCATCATAGGAGGCGTAGTGGGACTCGCGCTTGGGCAGCTCCACGTTGTGGATGGCGGCGCTGTACTCCACGCGGGGAATGCGGATCAGGGAGATGTCGTTCCTCAGCGTGCGGCTGTTCCAGTCGGCGTGGATGATGATGTGGTCCTTGGAGACGTGGTGCTTGACCTTGGGACTGGAGCGAACGGTGCTGCCCAGGTAAACCTCGACGGAGTCAACGCTGAGGAGTAAGTTTGGAAGGTGGTTAGCCGAGATACACCATCCATAATCTGGCAGCTTACCCATCCGTGCAGTGAGCGGCGGTCAGAACCCACTCGTTTCCGATGAGGGAGCCACCGCACCAGGCCGAGGCGGAACCGATCTTCAGCGAGAGTCCCACCTGGTAGGGGAACTGGTCGGTGCGGGCGTCCTCGCCATGAGTGATGCGACCGCCGGGTCCGTCCACGGAGCGCAGGGCCGATCCGGAGGCGTAGGCCAAGGCCAAAGCGAAAACAATGAGAACCTTCATGTTGGTGCCACCTATGGAAAGTATGTCCCACTCGGACTCATCCCACCGCTTTTATAGCCGTGAGTAGCCCCACAATCAAGTGACGTCCGTCTTCATCGCTATCTGATCTTCGGGCACCTGCTCAAGTGGCCTCGTCTCCTTGTGTTTTGCCCACCTATCATCGGCATGCGCCTTTCGAGCGATATGGGAGCTGATCTGCGCTTCCCATCGCCCGTGCTTCTTGAAAATGCTTAGATACGAAGCAGTGAATCGTCAGAATTCTTCCCGGCCAAAAGATAATATAAGAGGAATACAATCGGCAATATTTGGGATTTTTCCAGGGGCCCGTACATAATCCATCGACCAAATGTTTTATAGATAAGTAAGTGTGATTATTGAATTCAATCAAATTTAGAAAAATTATGGCAGATAGTTTTGCCCTAAAAGTGGCTACTTTAAAAATAAAAACTGGTTTGAGTTGGCTAGAATTGATATTGATAATGGCTTTCCTTGGAATTTTCTAAGGAAAAAAAAACCGTTCTTCTTTATATAAATATGTCCTTATCCATTAATTCTGAAATAATAAAACTTCTTATTTAAAAACAGAACTCACCAATAAAATTGGTGCTATTGTGTACTATGCAAACGATAATCAGAATCGTTTAGCCCAAAGTAGTTTATATGTTACAAAAAATAAATAATACTGGACATCGGAAACAAATCCGAACTATTTCACAACGTTGTTGTACCAATGGGAATTTAAAGAAAATAAATAACGTAAGGTGATGTTTATTCAACCACTTTCTAATTTTATCAGGCACAGAAAAGTATGCTACCCCACTGAAATAAAACTCTTATCAAAGCCAAACGAATAGATTGCTTTTCTTTCCTAGTCCATAATTCAAACTGCGTCGCTTTTTAAGTGCCATTCTCATAGCGCCCACCCCTTTTCAAATAAATGAATAAATAGTCGCAACTAAAATGCTCAACATTTAATTTAATTGCAGTGCCCAGCACTGTTTGATCAGCCATCGAGGGCCACTCTAGGCGTAGACGACCCCGCTCACCTCGCCAATCCAATCCAGATAGGCGGTGACGCGTGTGAACACCGATGGATAGCCCTTCGTGCAGCCCGACTTTTTGCCATAGGAAGTAATGCCGATCAGAACGTCTGTATGTAAGGTGGGATCCTCGAAGACCAGCGGTCCGCCGGAGTCGCCATGGCAAGTGGACTTGCCGCTGGTGGTGTCCATGCAGATGTTGCTTTGCTGAATGTTGGAGTAGGAGAACCGACAGTCCTCGTTGGATTCCACAAAGCGGACCACATAACGCAGGGTATTGGATAACGCAGCGGATTCTGTGGATCAGAATTTTGCATGATCAGAAAATGGTTAAACGTTAAATATACTAATATTATTATTATTAATAAATAGATTTACATTCTAAGCAAACGTCATAAAAATAATATTAGCAAATGTGACACTTAAACTAAGCTTTGTTTACACTTTAAAAATGTATAAAATACATTGGAAAATTATCTTGTAAAAAGAAAAGTTTGAAAAGTAAAAGAGTCATACATTAATATGTTGATCACTTATAGTTTGCTTAATATTAATACATTTAAATTTGTTTGAGATTTTTACAAAAATAATAATAATAATATAACAATAAATGTGCATTTTTGTTTGAATCCAAGTATGTAAAATGAATAAAATCCTGTGCCAGTTCTTACCATCATTGATGCGGCCCCAACCGGAAGCGATTGCGGGTACGTAGTCGTAACTGAGATGGCTGGATGAGATTCCTGGCAGCCGGATGGGTCTTATGGAGTCGCAGAGAGTAGCATCCTCCGGTAATCGCAGCACAGCGATGTCGTTCTCCAGGGTTTCCCAATTCCAGCCTGGGTGCAGGTGCACTTCGGGATCAGTCGTTCGGATGAGTTGTCGAGGCTCTAGTCGCTTCACTCCACCCAAGTAGTAGGCTATAGCAACAGCCCTGTAAGGGGTATTAAGATCAGCTTGGTATAGTCATTAGGGTCTATAGCGTATACCCACTTCTCGACGCAGTGTGCCGCCGTTAGCAGATATCGGTCGGAGATCAAACTAGCTCCACACCAGCTAAACAAGTCGTTGGGTTCCTCAATACTAAGGCCCACTTGATAGGGGAACTGATTGGCTCCGGCCAGATCCCCGCCAGCAATGCGCCCGTCGACGGCATGACCCAAATCCAGGCTGGCAATCGACCTTCCCTGTATAACGATCAGCAGAGAAACCAAAACCGATCTGATTTGCATGTTTTTCGTACTCCACTAGTTGCGCCACTGACGCAGTCCTCCCACCTGAATGTGGATTTATGGCCCCATCAATGGATTAATCTTGAAGGCGTACGAGTTGCCTGATTATGGACTATCATTTTGGACTGATCAGAACGCCACTTGATTACCGAACTAATTTTAAATACATATGTATTGATTTCATTTATCATATGGCACCGATAGGAGCACTTCACGAAAGAAAGCCTGTTCCGGATTTTGTTAACTCTAAAATAGCTCTTTAAAAAGAATAGTGTTGGAATTAAGTATTTTTATTCAAAAGGAGCTTAGATTAACCCCTTATTAAAAATCGAGATATGAACGGAAGGAGTTACATCATAAAATTAAAAAAATCGGAAGAACTTGGAAAAGTTTAGTAAACAGGTTGTAATTTTTGTAAAGGCATTACCCATTAAAGCTTTGTAACATATAAAAAACTTGTTGAGCTTAAGACAATTCAGATAGATTAATAGGTTTATTTATGGAAAAAAAACACTAAAAATACTGTATTATAAGGCTCTTTTACTTAAGGCCGTGTTCAAAAGTATGTTACATTCTGATTGTTAACCAAAGACTGAGTGTAAGAATTACAAAAGTAAAAAAACAATATCAGTTAACATTTATGTATATATTTACTGCAAATGTGCTATATATGATAGTTAAAGAGTTGGTTTTATTATACCAGCCATTCAATACCCTCCTCAAACAGAAATTAAAATACCTCACGTGCTGACTTTAGTTTGCCATGATTCATTGGCAGCCAAATTGAAGTGAATTGTTTTTTGTGTGACCATGGCAATAATCCCTCCGGTCTAGGGTGCTTGATGTTCGAGGGTGTCCTTATCAGTGATAACATATATGGTTGGTTGGGGGCTCAACCCTCGACCCGTTCCTATATAACCATGAAGCAGTCTCCCTTCTCTCAGTTATTTTTAATCGAGGAACGATGATGAAACCTTTGCTCTTTGTCCTGCTGGTCTCGTCCTGTGCGGCTGTTCCCCTTCTGACCGATGTGGAGCCATTCATTACCAACGGGGAGCTGGCCAAGGTGGGTCAGTTGCCCTATCAGGCGGGCCTAAACATCTCCTTTGGGAATTGGAGCACCTGGTGCGGTGGCACCCTAATCTCACACTACTGGATAATCACAGCGGCCCACTGTACGGATGGGGCTGAATCCGTGACGGTCTATTTGGGTGCCATCAACATCAACGATGACCAGGAGGTGGGCCAACAGAGGATCGTGGTGCAGAAAGCGGGCATTATTTTGCACTCCAACTATACGGCCAGCACGGTGGTCAACGACATCTCTCTTATTCGACTGCCCATCTTTGTCAGCTTCAGCGATCGCATTCGGGCGGCCAATCTTCCGCGTCGTTTGAACGGCGTCTTTCCCACCTACGAATCCGTTCGGGCCATTGCCTCCGGCTGGGGAAGGGACAGCGATGCCTCTGAAACAGTCTCGCCCGTGCTGAGGTACGTGGAGATGCCCGTCATGCCGCAGGCACTGTGCCGGATGTACTGGAGCGGAGCGGTGTCCGAGAACATGATCTGCATGAGCACCACCAATGGCAAATCCACCTGCCACGGCGATTCCGGTGGACCACTGGTCTACAAACAGGGCAACGCCAGCTATCTGATAGGGTCCACCTCCTTCGGGACCACCATGGGCTGCCAAGTGGGATTTCCTGCCGTCTTCACGCGCATCAGCAGCTACTTGGATTGGATCCTGGAGCACATAATCGCCCACACCTGAAGGTTCCTTAATGTTAGGTTGTCGTTGCAGAACAAAAGTTTCATTTCTACGATTTCAAGCTTTAGGATAATAAAATATACTAAATGTTTGAAAAATGTGAGGGCTATACGATTTTCTCAACTTGACTTTTAAGACTACTCATATCCAAAGAATTTTTTAAATTGCATAAGAAAATAGTTAGAGTTATACAAACTATTTTTAATTAAATTTGATATGAAAATCTAAGTTAACGATAAATTATTTATATCTCGGCAATATGTTTTAAACAGTCATTTAAGATTTAATATAAGAATATATATTTTTTAATCAGGGCCACCAAAACGAACAATATAGACATCTCAGAATGCACTTAAATTAATGCAGCAAATAAAGTTTGAAACCAGATGAGAAATGCATATCACTTAGATGGATTTGATCCAGTTCAGCATATTTAACAACCTTTAAATTTAACCAATCAAAATTGGACAAATTTCACAATATAAAGCTAAAACTTGACCTGAATGTGGTCGTTGATTTTATCTAAAATTGGAATGTTGACCCTTATTTAAAGAAACTTTCCCAAAAAACCCGCAATAAAAACACTCAGTAAACTTAATTTTTTCCTGATTTTTTTGGTTTATTTTTGCGTTTTTATTGTTTTTGTTTAAAATTTTTGCCTGGTTTTGAAGATTTTTATTCGTGCCGTCGTGGGGGCGTGCAAGTGTCGAGTGAATTCACATTCGAACGCACAACCAAATGATCCCAATGAAACCCGATACTTGCTCGCCACCCGAGCGGCGGGTTTTCCATTTGCTTTCTAAGTATGTACAAAAACTTAAGTTAGGAGGGGGTAAAAGGGTGGGGATGGGGGGTGGGGGTGGGGTGGGGATATGGGGGCCAAGAATATATGTATGTAAAAGAAAATCTAAATCTTAGATGCAAATTACGCGTTCGTTCGATCGAGAACGGGCGAACGAACGATCGATTAGAAAAACGGGTTTCTCTTGGGGACCCAACTTAAAGTAAATAGTTTTCGATTGTGTGGGGTGTGTGGTATGGAGGTGTGGGGTGTTTAGAGCTATATATGCTTGCAGCTTAATGCAGTAGTAGAGAAATCGAATACGAATATACGAGTACGAATAGTTTTGAAAAACGCGCAACGTTCGCTTGCTTAACCTTTGCCTTAGTCGAAAATTACATAAAATTTCATTTCATTCTCATTTTCGCCTCGAATATAGAATATAGATCTTGCTTAGTGTTCTATATGCCTAACTTTTGTTTTTCTTCTTCTAGCATTTTGTTAGTTTTTCGTTCGATTAGCTTAGTTTGCTTGCAACGTTTTCGCTTGCATTTACATAATTTTTAAACCTTTTTGTTTTTTCTTGCACAACAATTTTTGTTTTATTCAAAATTTTGTTTTGGGTTTTTTTTTGTTTGTTTGTTTGCATAATTCGTTTTTGTTTTGGGGATTTTTGTTTGTTTTTGTTTGGTTGGTTGTTTTTTTGTGGTAATTTGTTTCGTAATTCTATTTCTAAAAAATAAATTAAAAACAAATGAAAGCTACGTCAACGTTCCAGGCGATCTTGAAACATAATATCCTCCGCTGAAACAATCGAATCTTTTAAGATATCTTCATTGAAAATACACTACTGTATGTATATATTGCTAGGTTTGAGAAAACTAATTTGGAAATCGGTTGGTAAACGGGGCAATTGTTCAAAAAGGAAAGAAAAACTTTGCTAACTAAAGATAAACTTCTTCATTCATATTCTGATTAGCAACTATGTTTTTAATTAAATAATGTATCATGTAGTTTGGCGTCTTCAATTTTGAATCAAAGCGCTGGCTTTCTTTCTCCTCTCCGCTCCTCTCCTCTCCAACAACTATGTGTCCGCCTATGTGCTCCGTGTGGACTATTTTGAAGTTCTTACTCTGTGTGGCTTGCATTCGCGTTTAGTTGGGGCCGTATTTAGTACAATATATTTGCTAAGCGGAAGTCGGTTCTATATATCTCTCGTTTTGTGTGAGTGTGTGTTTGTGTTTGTGAGTGGCTATATACAGCTTACAGTGTGTGTTACGGGTATTTGATTTGCTAACTTAAATGCTAGACGGCCATTTCTGCTCTCTGTGAATATTCTGCCTGTGTCTCGGATTCCGTTCGCCAACAACTTGCTTACAACTAGTCTGCGTGTTTTGTTTTGTGTTTTGTTTTATGTATATGGGCGTATGTGTATGCTATTTATTATAATTATAAATTAATTAATGCTGTACAAAAGTTATCGCTTTTTGAGTTTTGCGTTCACGTTCAGCCCCATCGCGAACTCCTCTTCTCTGCTCTTCTCTGCTCTCCCCTCGATTCGACTCGCTATTCAGAGTCTTAGCATTGCGCTTAACTAAAGTGAATCAAAAGTGTGTGTCTCACCAACAATCCTAACAACTAGCCTACAATCGGACTTACTGAGGTTCTATACATATATCAAAAAAAGAGCGACTTAAGGGCTAATCCGCTGACTACCCGCTACCACTACTTCTTGTTGTAGACGGGCAGGGGCGGCGGTGCCAGTCCGGCGGCCGAGGGCGGTAAAGCGCTGGAGGGGGCCAACAGCATGGATGGTGGTGCGGATGTGGCCAGCGGTGCGCCCATTCCTCCGGTCACATTGGGTACGGCGCCAGCACCGCCAAGGGGAGCAAAGACGCCGCCGGCAGCTCCATTGTATTTCGCATAGTCCTGGCCCTTGCTCTTCTTGCTCTCCTTGTCGCGGTCCCGATCGCTGTGCTTCTTCTTGCTGCTACCGCCGGAGCTGCTGCCGCTCGAGGAGCTATAGCCTCCACCGGCACCGGCGTAGGTAGGCGGCAGTGCTGGTGCGGCACCTGCTCCGGTTGCGGAGGAGGACGTGGTGCTGGTTGCGGGGGGCAATCCATAGCCAATGGCTCCCGGCAAACCGGCCGCCGCAGAGTAGTTATTGGGCTCAACCTTGTTCTTGCTGATCTTGAGCTTAATGGGCGCTGAAGTACCAGACTGGAGGCTGCCGTTGGGATTCTTGATCACCATCTTCAGGGGCTCATTGGCCAGTGAGCTGTCCTTGCTGCCGCCGGTGCTGCTGCTGCGATCCTTCTGCTTGTCCTTCTTATGCTTCTTGCGCTCCTCCTTCTCCGTCTTGTCCTTGGACTTGTCCTTCTCCTTGTGTTTGTGCTTGTCCTTCTTCTTTTTCTTCTCCGACTTACTGCTACTTTCCTCCTTGATCTCCCCGGCCAGTTTGGTGGGTACTTCCAGGTCCATGGGTGCGGGGCCACCTGCCAAATTGGTCATGGGAGTGACGCCCGGCTCCTTCTTAATGGTCGCCGGCGCGGGCATGGGCTCCAGCAGCTCGGCCGGAGGTTTAAGGCCGGGCATGGTCAAGGCATCCGGTTTCAGGAGCGAGGCGTTCGACGGACACAGGCTCTCCTTCAGCAAACTGCGCACCAGATCCGGCGTGGTCTCAATCCCATTGGACATGTTCAAAGGCGTGTGCTTCTCCTCGTAGCTGGGATAAGTCGGCAGGCCAGTGTTGTTGTCCAGCTTGCGCAGCTTCTCGCGTGGCAAACTTCCGCTGTCCAACTCATCCAGCTTATTCAGACCGTACTGGCTCCCCGAGATCTCGTTGGCCCGCTTCAGGCTGCCGCTCTCGCCGGAGTTGGCCAGCAAATCCCCGCCATGGGGCAACTGTTTCTTGTGAGGCGGCAGCATGGGCTTCGATGATCCCGAGGCGGAGGAGCTGCTCCCACTGCCACTGCCCATCGGCATGGCAGGACGGTGCTTGTCCTTTTTGGTGGGCGTGAGACGTTCCTTCTTGGGACTTTCCTTGTCGCGCGGATGGCTGTTCAGCTTGTAGTCAAGACCCGGCGGCGCCGGAGGTGGTAGCAGTCCATTGAAGGGCGGCGGCTGCGTCTGCGACATCGGCTCCTTCTTGATGTCCGGCCACTCGGGACTGAAGAGCGAGTTCTTGGACTGTGAAGAGTGAGGCGGTGCCTCAGCGGGCAATTGTTGCTGTTGAGGCTGTGCCACCGGCTGCTGCATGTGACCGTAGCTCTGGCTCTGGGGATAGGGCAACTGCTGCTCGAAGGGCGGCATGCCGTGGACGGTGGAGCCGGATTTGCTGCGATGCCCGCCATATCCGGCTGGAGGCGGTGGCTGGGATCCGTTGCTGGAGCCGGGATATCCGCCACGCGACATCAAAGGGTTAGTGGGAGCACTATTGCTGTACGGTGGCGGAGCGTTCGGATACATCTTGCTGCTCTGGGACTTGTCCTTGGAGGACATTCCCGATGCAGATGAGTTGGAGGCGGATGGATGAGGGGCCGGCGGCTGCTGCTGCGGCGGCTGAGGCTTGGAGCTCGAAGCCATCTTGTGGCTGCCGTGCGGCGGCATGCCCACGCCCACCGGCGGCATGCCGCGCGAGGACTTGTGATAGTCCACGGGCATAGACGGTCGGCCAGGCTGCTGGCTCGACGATGACGAGGACGAGCTGCTGCGCTGGCCGCTGCTTCCCGAGGAACTGAGTCCGCTGCTACTGCTACGCTGGTGACTGGAGGGCAGGCGATTGCTGTAGCCCGGCTGCTTGGATTTGTGATCTGCAACAACAAACGTGTTTAAATACTTCATCTTTTCCAGAGGCGGATTGTGTACTCACCAGGATGCGCTTCAGGCGGCATGCCACCAGGGTAATTTGGCAACTTGTGATTGGAGGAAGACGACGAGGAGCTGCTGCCGGGCACACCGCCCACCGAGGACGAGCGCTGATGGCTGCCATCCTGACGTCTCTGCTGCGGCACCATCGCCGGTGGCGGCAGTAGCGACGACTGATCCCGCTCTCGCTCCCTGTCCCGTTCCCGATCCCGATCCCGCTCCCGATTGTCGTTGCCGTTGAGCAGCTCCGGCGGCGGTGTGATGTTCGAGTGATAGCCCTTCATCATCTCGGCGATCTTCCAGTCCTCCTTGGGCTTGTCCTTGCTGTTGGCCGTCCGATTGCTGGCCCCCTGGGCGATCGCCTTGATCGAGTTGAGCTTGGACTTGAGGCGGGCCGGACTCTTCTCGTAGATGGCGATGAACTCATCGGTCAGCTGCTTCAGCAGATCCAGCGAGACGCTCTTGTCCACGTAGTAGAACCAGTGCTTGCCCTCGGTCGACTGGGGGATCTCCCAGCGGGACCACTTGCAGGCCAGGTAAATGCAGAAGCAGGCCACCACAGTAGGGCGGTATTGCAGGCACATCGAGGTCAGATGCAGGCTGTGCCAGGATGGTTAAGTCAATTTAGTGGCAATTCGACGTAAGGGTTTACAAAGAGAGTGTAGTTGGGTGAGTGTGTGCAGGGGATTTCATCACTAATAACACAGATTACGTATTTAATGTTTAGCATATTCCCACAGGGACATTATTGAGATGCTCTTAGCCTTGGTTTGAAGGTTTTTCAATAAAAAATACAAAATTGACATCATTTTCCCAAGGCAACCACTGAATTCCAAAAACATTCTTCATTTTCCGCGAAAAACCAAATTACACGAATTTTCCGGGACAAATTACTAAATTACACATTATGCCAGGTAACTTAGAAACAATTCTAGATTTTCCATTATATGGCAGATGTTTGAATGGGAAAAGGTTTACGACGGTTTATATTTGAATTTTCGCGTTTCCCAAATTGACAATCTTAATTTTCTAGGAACTACAGTCTTTTTCACGACTTTTGGCGGATTTCCCGATGCAGATTACAATGTTATTGCAGGCAACTGAAGATAATTGCCGCGAGGTACCGGAAAAATAATGCCTTTTTTTGTTGAGATGCGGGATTTGTACAGCCTGTCGACTGCCTGCTGTGATTAGGGACCGCATGTCCTTGTTCAGCTAGTGACTTTAGGGTCCTCACCTTTTCTTTGTTTCGGGCCAGATACCTGGAGCTATTAGCTATAAGCCAGAAAACAACCAGGTAGCTGATTCTTTTTGGTCACCATAGTGTAAAAGCTTTCCCTTGCCAATTTCTGGCGAGGATTGCACACTTCTCACCCGCTCACCCGCACACACACACACACTGCACATAGCAGTGGGACATTCGCGTTGATCGATAGATGATTTCTGGGAGGAACTATACCATAAAGTAGCGCATTCATTGCCAACCATACCTGTTTGAGGCCAAGAAGTACGAGGTCTGCGCCAGATCCTTGCATGCTAAAATATACCACAGTAATCAGTACCATCTGACATGTGAGGGGGACATGGCTTGGGTCGGATGGTGGGTGCCTACCTTTGACCAGCTGGCAGGTGCGCACCACATGCGTGTGCGGATGATCGATGGCCACATCGAAGCCCAGCGTCTGCAGCAGCACGTTCTCGTTGAAGACAAGCTCCTGGGCGAGATCGGCGTAGTTCTGCTCGGTGGTCGGCGGCAGGCACTTGTTGGCGGCCCGTATGACATGCTCCAGCTTGCGCGGCTGCTCCTCCACCTTGGCGGCCAGAAAGAGACTCGCCGACGCCATGGAGTTGCGATGAAAGTGGGTGAACGAGTGGAAGGCGTAGAAGCGATGCATGTACACAATGGCCGTGTTGATGCACAGCTGGGAGACCTGCAGCCGCTGGCCCATCTCCTGGATCAGGTAGGCGGTCATCTGGCGGTACTGCAGCTCATCGTCGCCCTTGATGCCACATCGTCGACTGGGCGAATTGGCCAGCTGCTCGTTGCTGAAGTACCAGATCTTGTCCTTCTCAAATGGCAGGTTGTTGTTGGAACTGGGCGGAATCCCACTGGCGGAGGCGGCTGCCGATGAGGAGGATGATGAGGCGGTGGCCGCCGTGGGCATTGGTGTGGCCAGGAGACTCATTTTCCGAGAGGGATTTCACATGCAACCTGCGCCTCAGGATTGGCTGCCAATTCCGCTGGCTGATTTGATTCAGCCGTAGGAACTAACTGTACAAAGAGGAAGAGAGAGCGCTCTTTCTTTGTCGGCCGTGCTGCAGTGCGCTGGTATTGGTATTGGTATTGGTATCCGTATCCGTAACCGTGTGCGTTGTTCCAGTGGCGGGGATGGCGGCGGTACGGAGGGGGCAGCGGGGATCGCACAGCACATTGGCTACGCCACACTCGATATCGTTTTTGGGGACTGGGACTCCAATTTGGGTTCGGAACGAGGGGCTATATCCACTCCGTATCTGCGTGTGTGTGTGTGTGCGTGGTGAGGTTTTCTGGAAATTGCGACTGCGGCGGAAACGAAACGAGACGAAAAACACACTAACCGCGACACCAGGCGACGTGTTATGCAACTTTCGTATCAATTCATAGTTATTCGCACTGCATTCGCCGACGCGTTGGGCACTTGAACCATTACGGGTCGTTTACTGCACGCTTTTAATTCCACAACGCATCCCAGATTCCATTCACACGGTGACAATGACAAACTTTGCAGAAAAAAATGTATTTTCAAGTATGGCCGTCAGCTAGAGGTGGGAACACAACGATGCCAACCTCGGAGTTATCGATGTTCAAAACATCGGTTACATCGACGTTTGGCAGTGTTCATCGATGTTTTCTTCCCGAAGCGACTGGTTGAGAACTTGGATAATAAAATAACAAATTCCAATGCAATACAACTTTTTAAAGTACAGTTTTTATTCAATTTTAATCATTTGTAAGTCATTTTGATCTTCATGTAGTTGCAGATAATTATGGTTATGTGTACATGCTCTGGCAATGAAGTAAATTAAAATAAAAACCTTTAATTTGTGCTGCCTACGCTGCTCCAGCTGCCTTCGATGCGCCGTTTGTTACATGGTGGCCAGCAGTTAAACATTCCTTCAACACCGAAAATAAATTAAATCTCAACTCCGGAAATATACCAAAAAACCTATTTATTTAGTAGCGACTCAAACCATGGTGGCGAACTATAATATAAATTGCATTTGATTTCACTGTAAAGTTGACAATATTTGAAAACAAATTAAATACAATAAATAAAATTATACAGTGAAAAAAAAGGTGCAAGAACAAAATGGTAAATATTAGATTAGTACGTTTTATTTTTCACGGCTAGTTTGAAATAGTAAATACCAATATTTACTTACTTAATTAAAAACTCATTCCCCATTTTGACCGGTCCCTTCTCATTTGAAATCAGAATTAAAAACACACTTCCATTTTATTGTTATTTATAAAACAGATAATATATATATATATATTTTTTATAGTTTGTAGATTAAAATATACAAAATTTAGCTAAAAATCTTAAAACTCTTATGTTGTCATAACAGTAAATAATTATGCTAGCTTGCGACTGTTGCTCTTGCTTGGTTTTTGTAATGCGTTCTTATAAAAATTAATCTAATCCGTTCGCTTGCGCTTTTTCCTCTAACCATTAAATTCACCTACATACCATGTCTTCGGTCCAACGTTCATTCCCTTACTACGTATGCATTAAAGTATATATATTAATATATATTGTGGCTGGCTTTAGCTGATTTCTCAACGCAGACAAAAATTGTCTGTCAAATGTACACAGATAAAACAAAAAGTCAAATAAAAATATTAACTTAAGGTTAGTTAGCCGTAAACTAATCGTAACTAATGTTAATACATTCAACATATTTATCTAAATCTTGATCAATCCATGTATTTAAAGAGTTACACGTTTGCTGCTCTTCGTCGCAATCGCAATACAGAATATTGGAATAATCGCACGTTCGATTTAAAAGCTATATGTTTTGTTTCGCTTTTGAGCTAACAAAAGGGTGTTTAGTCTTAAGCCTAGAACAGAAATCCTGCCGAACGGCATCGATATTCGTTTATAATTAATTTAGTTGGTCTTATCCAGCATTCGGGGGTATTCCAATCTATTAACTAATTGGTGTATATATATAAAATACGTTTATAATCAAGTGGAATCATGAGGTCCAGAAGTTGTTTATATACAATTATCGTGCTAGGCATGTATAAATGCTTCGGGGTTGAATGTTGAAGGATAGTCTTTTTAGGATTTCCGAAAATCAAACATAGAAGTACTATCTCGATTAAAGCTGCATTCTCCGGGTTGTGGCTCAGATTTATGTTTACCGATTTCGTTGTACTCGAGTCGTGATTTTTTGCGTTTATGGTTCGATTCTGCTTCTGTTTGTGGGTGTGCTTACAGCTACCATCCTTATAACATGTAATATTCATTCCCTAAGAATTAATAACTGATTTACGCTACGTAATGGTAGATGCGATGCCCTATGCTAATAAATAGACATACATATAAATCCATGAACTGGGGAGAAACCTCATAAACTGAGACCTCGTGAAGTGGTGTCAAATGCCATACTGTGTTTGTGTCTTAGAATTACAAAATACACCAATTCGACTTTATCTAAAATATGTGATCTCGACTTTAAATATCGGTTATCCCTTCAACTATCCTATATAGACTTTGAATATACTTTAACTTATGCAACTTTATGTACTTTTCATGGGAGGTATATCTAGATTCCAAATTTGTAGCGGGTTCCATATATTTGTATCATATCTTTTGCTTACTTGCTACACATTTTCTTTTCGCCGTTTTGTGTTTAATTTTGTTTCGTCTGTGCTTCTAATGTTTCTACGGTTTGATGTAAATAAAACGCATGCACAAATTGAAATAATAATTTTATTTAAAAAATAAAAAATAATCATAAAAAATTGTTTACAATGAACAGAGTTGAACTCAAGACTCACTTTGTTTATTTGCATCATCAATCACCAATCATCATAAACAAAATGATATATTGTAGATTTCATCTTCACGTACACATAATAATAATAATAATAGATAAAGGTACTTAGAGAACGCAACTATTAAAGAAATAGATTAAAGAACTAGGAGTTGGTTTTATTCTCTTTTCCTATTCAAGGTTTCCTTTCAAGAGATTGCACGTTTTGGGCAGTGTTTGGAAATTGTTTGTAGAAGTTGTCGGTATATTGCATTGAGGATTGCGGTTGCAGTTGTTGAAACTATGGGTCAGTATCTCGGGTCTGTTCGGTTATCTGTTCAGATCTGTTCCATTTTGTTAGGCTTGTTTCGCTTAGTGGCAGTGTGACGTTAACAAGAATACGTTAGTTTAGCTTTATGTTTAATAAATAAACATCAGATCGAGAGTTGAGGGTTGAGTTTGGTTTGGTGTTCTGAGACTGCGTAAACGATGGCTCAAGGAGTGCTTTTCTTCGGGTTTATCCTGTGATTTTTTTTTTTTTTTTGCTGTCGATGTTGTAAATATACAAAACTTATCAAATAATAATTACAAGAAAGTTTAGACCACCAGTTTTCTGGGTTCTTAGCTCCAGTTAGGATGTGTGTGTTTTGTGTTGGGGGGAAGTTAAGGGGTGTAGCTGGAGAAACACTTAAATAAATAACCTAAACGTAGTTGTAAAAATAGCTAAAACTATGAAATAATAAATTTCCATCTCTCTTTTTTTTATAAAATAAGCAACAAAAACAATTAGCCCAAGTACAGAGTACAGATACTCAAGCAGATCGTTCGGATCTGTTAAAAATCTGTAAAGTTATCCTCTACACTGTTTGTCCTTGGGCAGCGGGGGGGCTAGGGGGCAGTTGAAAGGGTATTAGGCTAGGCATATACATATTCATATACAATTAGATTTAGATTAAGATTTAGATCGATAGAGATAGAGAATTTCTTGCAGCTATAAGGGTTCGTACTCATTTACATATTACACACATTTATCGAATATCAATATGAATCAATTCGGTCGTCCTTTGTCCTTTGTCCTTTCGCCATAGCAATAGCAATAATAATAATATTAATAATAGTGATAATAATAATAATAATATAACCAATAATAACAATATTCATTACAGTTACAGTTTACAGTTTACAGTTAAAATTACAGTTACAAGTACAACACTAACGCCAATGAATAGATCATTATTTACCGCCGATTTAGCTGGGTGTATGTATAGGGTACAGGACACAGGGTGTGAATATATATAGAAGTATATGTACGCGTATTGGGACTATCAGCTATGTGTAACTTATGCTTATCGCTGGCTAACCAAGAAACTCAACGCATATACAAAGAAATCCCTACCTCGCGTGGCTTTCAGCCACTATTGCCGCTAGCCGGTTGATTCTTACCCCACCCCAGAACCTATTGCCATTGCAGCTCGATCCGTTTGCGGATCGAACTATATTTACAGGCCGCCTTGTCCTCAAATGTCCACCTTCGCCTCTCACACGCCATTGCAGTCGATCTCTACGATGTCCTTGGGCACATCCACGAACTGGTAGACCAGCCGCTGGCCATCGACCTTGGCCAGGATGCCACGCTGGTAGTAGTACCTCAGCGCCCTGCCCATCGTCTCGTAGTTCATGTCCGGCTTGTTCTTGTGCATGCCCCACAGGCGGGACACCGCCTTCGAGTCGACCAGCTTGAAGACGCCCTTCTCCCGGTTCGTCCACTTGATGAAGCGCGGACAGTACTCGCGATCCTGCAGCAGCTTCAGGAGGAACTCCCACAGGTAGGTGGTGGATCCCTCCCGGCTGCGCCGCTTCACGCCCATCTCCAGCTTGGGCTTGCGCGGCTTCTTCGCCTTCCGCTGCTGGAAGCCGCCCAGTTCCAGCATGTAGGAGAGATCGTAGCTGACGCTGGACGTCGCCGGTTGGATGACGCTCTGCGAGCCGTTCGCCGCCGCTGCCGCCGTTGCTGCTGCCGCTGCACTGGCGCTCAGCATTGCCGCCGCTGCAACGGCACTGCTGCTGCTGCTGACGACGGATGCCGCCGCTGCTGCTGCGGCCGCTGCAGCGATTGTGGAATGCGTGTGCTGGCCCGCGTGCGGATGCGAATGCGAATGCGGATGGGAGTGCGGATGTGAGTGCGGATTTAGCTGCGAGTGCGGGTGTTGCTGTTGCTGCTGCTGTTGTTGTTGTTGCTGCTGCTGTTGCTGTTGTTGCTGCTGTTGTTGATGCGACAGTTGCTGATGCAATGCCTGTTGCTGCTGGTGCGACAATTGCTGGTGGGCCAGTTGCTGCTGCTGCGATTGCTGCGACTGCTGTTGCTGCTGCTGCTGCTGCTGCTGGTGCAGGGAATGATAGCCGTTGATGGTGGTGCCGCGCTGGGATGCCGCCGCCGCCGCTGCTGCCGCTGCTGTCGGGGCGTTGAAGTAGGACGTTGTCAGGTAGCCCGGCGTTTGGGGGTTTCCCGGCGCACCTGGCTGGCCGCCCCCACTACCGGCGCCACTGCTCCCGTAGTAATTGTCGGGCACTGCAAGGAAAAAGCATCGATTAGATCAAGAGATGATTGAATAATCTTAAATCTTAAACTTAGTTTGGGGAACGATTAGCTTAAATTTCTTGCGAGCAAATTTTCCAACTGTGTTTCTCTTATCGAGAAAGCTATTGTATAAGGTAGAGATCCTCAAGATTTAAAACCATAAAACATGTTAATTTATATCCAATTTTGAAAAAATTATTCCATTGTAAAATGACATTTGGTTGTTTCATACTTTTATGGAAAATTTCTAAGTATCTAGAAAAAAAAACTGATGTTTCAAAAACCTGCCCTTCAAATTAAAATCTAAAATGTATTAGGTTACTATACAAAACATCTACAACATTCAATCTGAACTAAAAAAGAGAGATTTATACCCCCAAAAAATTAGTCTACTGGCAACCCGATTTGTCCCATGGTATCCAGATCGCAGATCGCAGATCGCTCGCGACTATTTCACACCGTTCCTGTTTCTGTGTGGTGGCACAGGTATAATTTTGTATGCTATTTAGTAAGTTTATTTTTTTTACATCCGGCGTTGCCGTTGCCCAATTCCGCGACTCAGTCAGTTGGCAGTCGGTAGTCAGTAGTCGGTGGATGTGGATTCGATGGACCATTTTAAAGGGGGGAGTGGAGCAAAGGTGGTGGGGCGATGGGGAGGATTGAATAAAAACAAAAGTGAGCAGCACTCTCTCACCAACACCACGAAACTCTGGACAGAGAGCAACGCACGCTGTGTTGTTCGTGTGTGGCTCGTGTGTTTCATTCGTGTTGCATTGCGTTGGTGTTTGGCACTCTCTTTTTCTCTCATGGGGGAAAAAAGAGAGCGGGAGAGTGGTGAGCTCTCCATTATTGCCACATTGACGCTGCTATTGTTGTTGCTGTTGCTGCTGCTGCTGCTGGTGCTGTCGTTGTCGTTGTGACCTTCACAATTTGCGCAAAGGCAATGTGTCGATGACCACAGATTTTTATACAGCAACGCGCACACACACAACCACATACACAACTGGCAGAGAGCATAAAAGCAGCGAGTGCAACACAGTCTCATTGCAATTGATTGTGCTGTATGTGTGGGTGTGTGCGTGTGCGCCTTGTTTGCCTGACATTTTTGCAAAAAAAGAGTAAGTTGAATTAGGAGTGCATTATGTATGCAACAGATTATAGCAACTTCAGATTGATTGCCAAATGTAAATGTCTCATTAGGTCACACGATTAATTGGCTTAGATACAACCGTTCTAAGCCGAGATCAAATGATTTAGGTTAACTTAAACGCAGTACCTTAAACGGAATTTACTTGCTGGCTTCCCAAGCTTTCTTAATTTATTTATTTTATGAAAATGTTCAGTTTTTATACTTTCTAATAACAATTGAGCTCTACTATTGGTTTTTAAATCATAACTCTCTCTAAATATCTGTTTTAATTTAATTAATTTAAAATTTAAGTTTGTAAGCCCTGTTTATTGTTGTTACACTGTTTAGTCATTTAAACTTGGGGCATATTATACATAACATGAAGTTGTCTAGTCCTTAAATTTAGCACAACGTTTAATGTTTGCAAGTTCGTCTGGCACACAGCTGGAATCTGCCAGGTTTTTTTCAGGCATACATACTTATACTTATACTCACCACCAACACTGCGATTCCATATGTTCCGCAGCGAATTCGCTGCATTGTTCTGGTATAAATTCGGATGCAGAAAGGTGCCAGTGTGCAGGTGCGCTGCTGCCGCCGCCGCCGCTGCTGCCGCGGCCGCTGCTGACGCCGAGGTGGCCGCCGGCATCCCGAGCCGCGCCTTCAGCTCGTCGGCGCAGGGCTGGCCGCCGGAACTGGAGCTGTCCACGTCGGAGACGCCGCTGTCCGCGGGACTGGGCGGAAATGAACCTGCGAACGGGAACGGGAACGGGACATGGCGACGCAAAGCGAGGACGAGCCGAGAAAAGGGGCAATTAGCAATCGATATGGCTCGAACCGAGTCGAGGGCGTGTGCAGTGGTTCACCTTGCTGCTGGACACGCTCGCCTCAGTACTCTTTACACTCGAAAAATAACGTGATCTCTTTAATCATTTATTTCTAAATCTATTTACGACCAGTTCCTATTTCCTTAAGAGTTTTCATAAGAAGAATTGGTAATTTTTAACTATTTTGCATGTAATTTATTTACTTACGACCAGTTTCTATTTCTTTTAACATGAAATAAACGTCGTCATAAGAAGTTAAGCGAATTTTTAGATATTGCTATAATTATTTGTGAAACTTCATTATTAAAACTTGAGTAGCAATAACTTACATATATCATATATGTGTTTAAAATTTTAAATTTGTAGAAGGTAAATATCTTTTGTTGTTATGTATACTTTTTTTAGTAAAAAAATATTTCGAAAATTCTTTTAAATATCTTTTGGAATAATTCTCACAAAGTTATTAAATGTTTTTCAAGATCAAGTTGTTTTAAAGCATTGAATTACCAAGAATCAGTTAGTAATTTGTTGTGTGCATATTCACCTGTTGTGGCCGTCGTGTAGTTTCTATGGTGCGGATTGTGGATAGCACCACCGCTGAGCAAATTGTGCAGCAGCGGGCGGTGTGGTATGGCCAGCGGTTGTTGTTGCTGGTGGGCATTGTTGCCGTTGCCGTTCCCATTGCTGCCACCATTGCCCGCTGCACCGTGTAAGCTGTGCTGCTGCTGCTGCTGCTGCTGTTGTTGCTGCTGCAGCTGGAGCGGTGTGAGCAGGGCATTTTGCTCTGTCTTGATGTGGAGCAGAGCGGTGGCGCCGGCAAAGGTGGTCGCATTGTGCGCCTGCTGTTGCTGGTGCTGCTGCAGGTGTTGCTGTTGCTGGTGTTGCTGCTGCGGTGCCGGGCTCGTCGATTGTTTCACAATAGGAATTTCAGTGTCTGAAATGATCAAGAAATGGAAGATATTGTAGAAAATGTTGTGGAAAAAACATCAATGTAACATTTAAGTTACATCTTATTTGTAGAACAATTGAGTTCCTGTTTGGCAAACGATAAACCTTTGATTCTCAATAGATTTAATGACATGTAAATTGTTTGCTAGATATATGGTCTATTTACAATAGTTACTTTTATATAATTAATAAAATGGTGAAAAGTGAACCAGTTTGCTCAAAGTGGTTTTATTATTAAATAATATAAAAATGGGATGTACCTATTGATGTTTATTGAACATCAATTATTTTAGGCTCATTTTTGTCATTGCTGTAATGAACCTAATTACCCATACACATGCAAAATAAGTATTTTTGCCTGCTGTCAGCAAAGGTAATAGCTAAATAATTAAAAATCCTTCAAAAACATCAGTTTCAATTAAATGTTGCGATTGGTTCAATCACCAGAAATATGTACCCACACTTTCGAATCCCCAGCCACCTTTGCTGTTCCAATTAAACGAATACTTAGCCTCATCACGGAATATTTTTGCAGGGCCCCCTCCACCATCCACTCCTCTTTTAGCCCATCAACCACTTGGCTACGCCCCTGTCCTCTTCACAGCTGTCAAAAATGCCTATCCAACGAGCTAATAATACAAAAATTCGCATCATAATTTCATAGAAATGTCATGTTAAGCAAAATATGCAAAAAGGAAAACGAATAAGACGAAACGAAACGAAACAATTGAAATGCCCCAATTTGGTGAGCCATGAACTCGCAACCGTTAAAAACAACGCCAGAGGAAAGGCAACAAAAAAAAATTAGCTTCTCACTTTCCTTTGGTCGTTGTCGTTAGTGTTGTTGCTGCTGCAGCTGAAAAGTAAAAGTGCATTTTCACTTATTTCATGCAGCAGCCGCAGCGGCATGAAAATAAGCAGAGGGAAAAAATTGCATTGAATGTCAAGCGGTACGCACACATACATACAAATCCACGGCAACTGCAGTGTGCAGGAAAACGTCAAAGCCAGCGGAGCAATGAAGCTTGCAAGCACACTCACTCTCACAGATACTCACACACTCACACTCACACTCAGAGACGAGTGGCAGCAAGAGAGGAAGAGAAATCAGGTCAAGGCTTGTCGGCAGCGGCGACGAGTTTACAATTTATGCTTTGCTGGCTGCATTATTGCATGTTGCCGCTGTGTGCGAGTGCTTTTTACAGCTTTTTAAATACACGGCAGCCTAGCCGACATCGCACACTGGGCTAAAACCGGCCAAATCACCGTTGGAAAAAGTAAATTATATGTATCTGGCAATATCTGGCAGATTTTCCATACAAATGCGATCAATAATAGCGCTGTTTTGAACCAAACTAATTTCGACTGCATAACTGGATAGCTGAGTAGATAAAATTATCATCTGTCACCAAAAAAAAAAAAAAATTAAATAAGAAGACTGATTTTATCTCTACACATTTATTTATAACAAAAACAAAATATTACAATTTATTTTAATTCCGCAATATAAGACATTTGACCCACTGTGAAACAAAGTCGTCTCGTTTTGATTGCCGCCCCCCGCTCCACTCGTCGTGGGTGAATGAGAAGCATGTAAAAATATATATAACCATATTTTTTTCTTGATATGTAAAAAATTCAAAAGCCGCAACAGCACAAAAGCGTATTTACCCACAAAAATAAAAAGCCAAAGTCGTGACGGAAATCGCGCGGCAACAAAACAGCTGTGCGGTTGCATTGGTTAACTCCCCGTCCACCCGCCGCTCCCTCACCCACCCACAATTAGCCTGCTGCTGCAACACCAGCAACTTTTTAACGGAAATTATAAATACAATTTTCGCCAAAGTTTTCGTTGCGAGAATTTTCCTCTATTTACTTGGGGCTTTAATCGCTTGTCGAAGTGGAAATGTCGGAAATGCCCGTCACTTCGGTTTTTTTTCGCTTGTCTGCGTTTTTCTTTTAGTTTTTCCGTGGGGAACTACTCACGTGTTGTTGTTTACGGTGAAATACGCGGCGTATGCGTAATTTGTTGCAGGTGGCCGTCGAAGAGTTGATTTGAGTAAAGTTCTCAATGATAAATGGCATGGAAATGTCAAATTTATTGCAAAAGAAGACGAAGAAAATATGGAACTTAGCTTTGCTTACAGATTACACCTTACATTTTGCCAAAAACGGAAGGAAGGCGAAGAATTTAGATTTCCTGGCAGAGGAGCAGCACTCCGCATAGCTTTCACTGTACTTAGTTTGTGGCGCCTCCATGGCAAAAGAAAATAGAAACAGAAGCCGACAATCAGACCGCCAGAGGTTCAGCTTTAATGGTGCATAAACAAACACAAACACGGCAGAAAGAAAGACAAATAGCCAGTGGTAATTGTGTCTACAAAACATTGCATTGCTGCGCCAAATGTGCGCTGACCTCTAAAAATGCGGTCTAATAAAACCAGCAGAAACTAACCAACCGACAAAACACACAGAAATACAACAAAAAAAAAATAAAAAAAAATTAAATATATTACGAGAAAACAAAGCAAAATTGGCAAACAACAAAAATAATAAAAAACAACACACATACACATGGACATGTCAAAGAAATTAACGGTAAAGTCATGTGCATGTGAGCTGGTGGGTTTTGCTATTTTTCTTTTGTTGAATTCGAATTTGGACTTGAACTGGCTCGTTGATATGTGCGCGGCATTTTGGGACAGTTACATCACAATTCCGGCGGATAGCGCAGCATTTGCCGCAATAGTAGGTCAATGTAGGTACGAGCCATCGCTGCTTGTTGTTACCTTCATGATTAGTTTGCCTTATAAAGCCGATATGCTTTTTGTTTTATTTTAATTTTTGCTTTTGGTTTTGGCTTTCGGCTTCGGTTTTGCGGTGTGGATAAGGCGTCATCAGAGGTGCTTGAATTTTGTTTACAATTTTCGTAGCATTTCCGAAAGCCGTAGAAGTTGCCCGTCTGTCTGCTCAACAACAATTGCACACCAGCGGCAGCAACAATGTGTAATTGTTTATGGCATTTTGGTTATTGGCCTATTTTAGATGTGCCCAACTACCCAACAACTTGCGTTTGTGAGTTGTGGGCGGTTTGGTAAGAAACGGAAAGTGAGTTTGTGTGTGGGTTCAACTGAAGGGGGATTTGCCTATTGAGCTCAGCTTTTATCGTGTATAAGGTATTTTCATCTGACATTAATCAGTGGAAAGTAGGCAAATGAAATTTAATATTTTAGAGTTGTCGGATGTGATTTTTACTTTGGCTTGCCGATCAAATTACTTCGGAAAATAGCTAGATATCTTTAAGTTACATTTTAAAGGTTACTAATATTATTTTTGGCACGGAATCATATTATTCAGTTTGTTCAACGAACTCGTACTTTAAAAGGCTAGCGAAAATGAGTAATAATAAATAAATTTAACGAAAATAATTCTCATTTTATGATACTCAAATTAAATTATAAACCTTTTTAGAAAAAACCATAAACTTTCTCATTAAATATTTATAGGCTTTTTAAAATGCATTCTAAATTAAATAAGCTAGGATAATTTCATGTTGATTACCTTAACCGTTGTCAGTAATAAATGCAAAATACGAAAATAAGAAATACATATTTTAATATGCATTTGATTTTTGGAAACATTAAATGGGTAACTCCCGACAAATGATCCATCATAATCTTGCCTTGCCCCACTTGTTTACCAACAAAAACATATTCAAATTCTATTCATCAAATAAAACTATTAAAAAAAACCTGTGATTGGATGCCAGGCGAATTCCCCGAATGTCCGAAACCAAAAACGACAACAGCTAGAAATTGTTTTGTATCGATAATTTCACTTGTGCGGCGCAATATTGCGGCAAACCGGAATCAAAATGTGCCTTAACTGGGATACATATTTATTTATTTATTACCAATAATCATAATAATACAATTTATGGCGGTGCCAAAACAAAACAGAGTTATGGGTGTGGTATTGGTAGAAAGAAGAAAGCCCAGTTCAAGTTAATTCGAATGCAGGCGCGACAGACGAAAGTAAAATGCACAAAGAGCTGAAAACAAAATCAACAGGAACGGGCGACAACAACGCAAAAGTTCTATATTTAAATATTATAATTTATGTGTTTGTTTGGCAATTGTAGTATTTGTTGTTGGTGTGAATGTCTCTTCCCCAATTTTTTGTTTTTTTTTTTTGGTTCCGTCTGCCTCGTTTTTGCACGATCCCCATTATTCCCATTCCCATTCCCGTTTCCCGATCCCCAAGGCCCATTCCCCTTTTTTCTCTCTTTCTCTCTGGCTCTCTGGCACTCTCTAAATTCCTGTTCTGTCGCCTTTTTTTGGCTTTTAGGCCGCTGCCAACGTCGCTGCTTTCACAGGCGTACGTGCGTGTATTGGTGGCCAGAATAAAAGCCAGTTGTTGTTCTCTCCGGTTCTTGAGTGTGTGAGTGTGTACGCTTTTTGGAAATTCAGTCTCAAGTTCAAGGTCTCGCGGATAACGCACACCAGCAAAGACACACTGCTCACACCGACACCAGATTCTCATTGTTTACACACACACTCGCACACAGCGAGACATATGCATATCAGGCAATTTCTCATTGTCGTACCAAATGTATGTACATATGTTTATTTAAGCTACATATGCATTTAATATAAATCCAAACACAAACACACATTCGTATTTATATAGACAACAAAATTCTTCTTCAATATTTCCGCATTAAGAAATGATACGAGACTCTGCTCCAATCTTTTCTGTTTCTGTTTCTGTTTTCGTTTTTTTTTTTCGTTTGTATTTTTGCATTTTTTATGACCGCTATTTCTCTATACTCGAAAATGTTTCGTATCGCACAAAAGGAAATATAATGTAAATTTATATACTTTCTGTTGTTTCGTATTTTATTTTGGCTGAATCTTTTTTTTTAATTTGTCATTAAGTACTTTTATTTGTTTTATGGTGTGGTATAATATGCATATAGATTGACGCATTTGCCTCCAGGGAAGATGTTTTTATATGCCTTTCGAATTTGTTGCGATTGCTTATATCGGATTTTGTAATGCATTTATTTCCATGCGCTGGCGTATGTTTTAAAAATATATGAATTATTTGTCATATGCTAGACAGATAAATATTGCCTTTGTTTGCTCAAAATATGTTCTCATGTAATTTTTTATATATTTCCGATAAATGTCTTTGTTCAGTGTCTTTTATTTAATGTTGCATAATTTAGTAATAATGATTTCGATCAATATTAATATATCACAAAAGCATTCTAATTTATCAAGAAAGCTTATAATACTTGTTTTATATTTTGGTTTATTTTCTACCACTTTTAACAGTTGAATGTTGTGTAATTTCTGGTAGCTTCTGTTTAAATTAACACTTTCTTTTCCGACAGAAAAACCCTTTTTTTGGTCACGCGCCAAGTTTGTATGCGGTTACAAGTGCTAATTGGATGTGTATATTATTATTTTGATTCCTATTTGCCAAGTTAGTTAATTAATGTTTAACCAGCTATTCATGAAAATGTTCTAAGCTGAAGTTCTAAACTAGTTTATTATTTCTAGCTAATAAATAAGTTTTTCATTTTAATTTATAGAAAATTAAAGTTTTTCTAAACTTTTATTCAGAGATAAATTATAAATTCATTGGTTTCCAAGCAAATTATTGATGGAATAATCGAAATCGAAAGTTTTGCTTTAGTTAAGAAGTTCTATTTTTTAATTCTATTGAATTAATCATAGTATTTAATGTTTATAAAAACTTTCCATATATGCTCTAGATTTCGGTGCTTAATACTTTATTTGCTGGAAATTCATTACCAAGAATTTTATACCGGACCGCCAAAAACGGAAGTTTCGGTAACCGCTGCAAGTTCTAGGTAGCTGCATTACGTATATGACTCGTTGTCGCTAATTTAGCAGCAACAAGTTTGGGCCTTGACCCGACCCATTGCACTCGGTTATGGCTATGCAATCCGCGGCTGACCATATGGCCACATATTAGCTGCACTGCGAGCGGGAAACATTTGCTCAATGCGATTTCTTGAATTTGCTAATCCGATTTTGTAATTGAGTTACGTTGTCCGGCGGCCAGTGACATAATCCCTGCGACTAGGAATCGGGGACTCTGCGTCTCTCCTTGGCTACCGATAAGGAGATAAGCTCCCAGTGAGCAGAACCTCCATTGGCCAATTGAGCGGAGAGCAAAAGTGATTACAAAATCTGAACCGGGGAAAGATACGTATAGGCCTACTAAATGGGGCAGCGGCTTACATAATTCTAATGCGAAAAATCGCCGCCGCCATCCGCCGTATTTGGGTTAAAAAAAAAGGCATCGAAAAGAAAAAAAAATGGAAAATCATTTGCTAATTTCTTGCCACGAAACGAGAAATTTAAGTTTTTCCGCGCACGCTCTGTATGCGATTAGTTGTGTGTGTGTGTGTGTGTGTGTTTGTGTGTGTTTGTGTGTGTGCGCGCAGTTGTTGCCAATCTATTCCCAACCTACCTCAAAATGTTTTGCGTTAGGCCTGAAAAAAAGCAACAGAGCGTTGAGTTGGGTGGCGGGCGGTGGGCGGAGGTCGGAGGGGGTCGCTCTTTTTCACTATTTCCCACAGCGCACTCACACTCACACACACACACATGGACTGAGCAAACACAGACGCTCCAAGCTGGTTTGTCATGTAAAGAAAACGGTGAGGGGGAAAGAGGAACTACGGCGGTAAAGAGAGCCGACCGACCGCTCTCCGCCGCATGTCGCAATTGAAAGTTGCCTCCACCTCTCTCTATGTGTGGGTGGTTCAATACTGTTGTTGTTGCCGTCGAAAGGTTGAAGGTAAGACCAGAAACCAAAACAAAGCCCCACAAAATGAAGTCATGAGGAACCCAACAAAACAAAAAACAAGAAAAAAATAAAGGGTAAAACACATATAAATAAAAGATGAAAATGCTTGGTCGTGTCGCAAGCGGAAAATATATATCATCTAGGAATTTGTGTGCGAAAAATAAAAAAACATACCTCTGAAATGAAGTCTAGTGAAAAGGAAGCCCAATAAATTTACCGACTGACTGGAATATTTCGCAAGAAGTCGCAAGTTTTTGGGGCGAGGCGGTCAAGGGGGGTTCCAGTTAAAAATTTTGCATATTACCCATTCCCATTAATTTTAAGTCATGCGATTTATGGGGGAATCGAGCCAAATCAATTGGCTTACATTTTATAGAGTTCAATTCAATATAGAAATTACCATCTGTTTAACTAACTTAAGGCATGACAAGCTGTTTAAAATTTAATAATTGGTTTGAGTAACAAGCTTATAAACTATTAAGCTGAGTGGAATTATAGATTTCAATAAATTATATTGTATTCCCTATATTGCAAGTGTTCAGCGTTGCAGTTATGTTGAAATAAAGATATTTGCCAAAGGAACTAACATTTTTTAATTATTTAAGTAAGACTATTTATTTGATCTAGTAATTTTGTCATTTACCCTAAGCCAACCAACTATTAGCCTATGACAGTCATCAACCATTTTATTTGATTTTATATGTGTTTCCCATTTTCCTGTTTTTTAAATTTCAGTCTAGATGAGAATTAAAATGGACATTTTTCCTACCACTTTCAGTTTTTCCATCTTTAAGGAGGGCTTTAATTTTCGCTTGTTTGTTTCCCCCATTCCCACACTGCATAAATCTGTTGGCGGCGACCACTTTAGCCAGATGTGAACGAGAGGAGCATTTCCGCCAGCCACTTGGCCAAGAACTGCAATTGGCAGGCAGCGTTTTGTGGCGGTTTAGTGTGTATCCAAAGCCCAGGGCTCCAGCTCCAGCCGAGCCAAAATCAAAATCAAAGCGAAAACCCAAACTAAAGTGGGGTAAACTTCGGCAAAAGTGAAGGCAGCAGCAGCAGCAGCAGCAGCCCGGGAGCCGTTTTGCTGACGACGACGCCCCGTGTAAAAGTCAAATAGAGGAAACAAGTTGTTGGCTAGGGTTACCAGATATATAATTGTATATATGTTTATATATGAGGGTATGTAGCAAGTGCAAGATACACAGACATAGATACAAAAGACCAAGTCGGAGTCTCCATCTCCAGCTCATTTAGCAGTTGCCAGTCGCGAGTTGGCGAGTTGCTGTGGCAGTTTTAGAGCAAGTGACTGGGAAACTATTCCACACTCAGACATCGAAACCGAAAGCAGACACACAGACACGATACGCGTTACAAACTAGCGAATGCAGTGAGCGGAGAGCCAGATACGGATACCTATACCAATACACATACACTGAAACCGAAACAGAAACAGAAACCCAGCCAGCTGAGCGCAATAGTTTATAGACGACGGGGCCGCTCTCTTTCTGGCTCTCTGTGGCGTTTGCCGCCTCAAGTAATCAATAAAATTGTTGAGGTGGGTTAGGAAACTGTTACGAAGCCGTTGACGTAGACTCGCTGCTTCTACCGCCGCCGCTTCTGCCGCTTCTACCGCTTCTACCGCTTTTGCTGCTTCTACCACTTCTACCGCCTTCTGCTTCTGACCGCAGCGGCGAAGACGTCGACGCAGCGCCGCCGGCGGAAATTGCGCTATTTTAAATAATGTTTATTTTGCCTCCGGCCGACCGACTCTTTTTCTTTCCATTGTTTTTCGTTATAAACATTTCTTGCCATTGCCAAATTGACATTTCACAATTTTGGCCAGTGAAAGATGGGGGAGTTGCTTGGGAGGCTGATTCATTGCCACTTAATTGGCAATTGTATAAAACAAACCAAATGGACACCAGAATTTTTTAACGAATTTAAATGAAAAATCCAAGAAACCTATGTTTTAAAATTCAATGTATCAACTCCCAGAAGATGTTAATTTATTATTTTCTGAAAAACTATTTTAAATTGCACAAATTTCTAGGAAAAGGTGTATTTTCCATATATTTAAAGCCAAAACAAACCAACGGTATCAGAAATTGCTCAATTTATATATGCTAAAGGCATTTTGATTGAGCAATAAACCATTTGTATCATAAGATAATTTAATGGGGATTTAATACAAGAAAAAGAAACTAGAAATCCTAAAGTTTTCAACACATTTAAACAAGTTAAATTATAGGAACAATATTTTCATTGATAACCATTTTAAACCAGTTAAAATATATATATAACTTTTTTTTGCCACTCACAGTATCGCTTCATCAAGCTCTTCTTGTAGGCCGCCGACCGTTCCGCCTTGCGTTCCGGCTTGAGGCGCATCCTCGCCCGCTCGCATTGTGCAGAGTCGTCGGATTCCGTCCCGGAGTAAGTGCGTCCACGTCGGCGATTGGCCGCCGTTGCTGCAGCGGCTGCTGCGGCGGCCGAGGCCGCGGCACTGGTGGCACTGCCTAGTGACAGATCCAGCGGCGAGTCGTAGCCATTCTGGTACTGCTCCAGCAGTTCCTCGTCCTCGGCATCCGCCTCCACATCCGCATCCGCATCGTCCACATCCTCCAGCGTCTCCTCGTCTTCGATGTCGCTCATCGGCTGCTGCTGCTGTGGAGGCAGCAGTGTGGGTGCCGCGGTAATCACAGAGCTGCGCTGAAGCTGCTGCTTGCGCTCCCACAGGATCTTGGACACATCGTCCAGGGTGCTGCGCGTCTTGTCCGGCGATGTGGGGGCGTGATGTTGCTGGTGCTGCTGCTGCCTTAGGTGATTATAGAGCACTTTGAACTCGCGACAGTCCGAGGTGACAGACTCCGACTCCTCTTCCTCGTCTTTCACGGGTGGCGACTTGGGGGAAATCTCTTCTAGTGACTCGGGGACTTTGGTGGACGCAACTGGACTTGGACTTTGCCGCGCCAACACTGACTCGGTATCAACTATGGCACCTGGTTCCTCCCCATTGACCGGCTCTTCCTCCTTTTTCTCAGCTTTTTCCTGGTCATTCATCGCCGGATCCTCTCTAGCCACGGGCTGCTGCTGCTGCTTCTGCTGCTTCTGCTGCTTCTGCTGCTCCTCTTCCTGCAACTCGGCTCCTGCTGGCGGCGAGGCTTCTGCGGGAGCGGCAGCTCCCGGCGGTGGCGATGTGGGCGTCAGGGGCGAGGCCACCGGCGTGGGCGTGGCCGACGACAGCGAGGAGCTGGATGAGGAGGATGACAGGGATAGCGAGGAGGAGGAGGAACTCGAACTGGAACTAGAGCTGGAGCTGGACACATTGACGAGGGCTGCTGCCGCCTGGCTGGCGAAGTTGTGCGCCGTGGCGGCCACCAAATGTTGCACCATTATCATTTTGCACGACGCGGCGAATGCGTGATGGGTTCAGAAATATTGCGTATACGCAACGTCTTACACTTCTGACATGATTCTTATGCCTGATTTTTGGGGCTTTGTTTTTTATTTGTGTGTTTTTAAAAATTGCACTAAGTTTTTGCACTCGGTTCGTTGTTTGTTTATTTTTTTGTTTATTTTTTCGTTACTTCCTTACGCTTGAGGTATTTGTTTCATTTGAAAATTTATAACATTTTGAACTTTTTTGCACTATTTGTGGACGTTTTTATACTAACTTGTGGCTTAAACTTAAACACATTTTGCTATTTAGCTATTACATTATGTTTGCTTGTTGGCCAAACATTTGCTTGTTGCTTGCATCTGTTTTTTTCTGATTTCTGTTTGTGTTTTGGCTGATGAGTTTTCTTCTGTTTGTTTTTGGGCCGCTGTTCGTCGCTCGCCGCGGCACGTCATTTATCTCTTACGGTATCAGCAAAACTAAAATCTAAAGTCAGCACAAAAACCGCTGCGAGTGTTTGTTAGGCGCAAACAACAAACGTCGACGCCGGCAGCGACGCCGACTGCGATGCTGCGGCAAGCAAAAGCGCGCGCGCGCCCCACTCACCGATGCCCCAACACCAGTGCACTCGCCCCGCTCACGCACACACGCAAACACGCACGCACCGCTCAAGAAACACACACTTGCACAGGTGCAAAGGAGCGCAGAAGAATGAGAGAGAGGTGGCAAATCGGCGGACTGAATGGGGCTCGCTCGCTCAACTCGCTTACGCCGACTGAACGAACGACTGAATCGTTGGCGCTGCTGTCGCTGGTGTTGCGAAAAACTTTGCGAGAGAGCGCGAAAATGGCAAACAAACGTAATCGCGAGAGCGAGAGAAAATGTTTGGAGCTCTCTTTGCTGCCCCTTTTGCCCCCTCCCTGTTGCAACCTGTGTGCGTGTGTGTGTGTGTGCATGTTTGGGGGATTTGTGTGCCACATGCGCATTTGCATGCAATTCTCGTGGGGATTGGCGAGAGGGAGGAGGGGCAGGAAAGAGGGGTTGTCACAGTAGCAAGTCCCTCAAGAATGTTGTCAAGTTAGGATTACTTTTAACTGCACAGAAAAAATTGCAATCCCACTTGATAGAATTAAGAAATTGAATTTCCAATCAATTACGATTAACACTTTAAGACTCAATTTCTTTTAAATTATTATTTGAAAATATAAGTTAGTTAGTCGTCCAAACGAAATTTTAAAAGTATGTTTTGACCAAATATTTTGTAAATTAATTCGGTTCGAAATTAGGAATTCAAGCCCAAGCCTTTGAGAAGATTTGTTTTTTTACTTTTGTATTCTTGGTTTCCTCTTTTAGATAAAAGTAAAAACATTTCTGATTAAGAATGCAATTGTTTTCTGGAAAACAATCCACTCTTGGATTTTCAAGAACACTTCGTGAACTATTTTAAGAATTGATGATGCTCTTAATTTAAATTAAACGAATTACAGCATATTTCCCGATGAGCCAACAAAGGCCTGATTACTTCCCTTTTAAAGATCATTACACATCAGGAGCGATTAAAAATAAAAGTAACACAACAATCACTGCCTGCGACCCAGACCCAGTGCTCTCTACTCTTCGGTCTCTTCTGCTCCCTTTCGTCCGCCCCCTTTTCCTCTCGGCCATTTCTTGCCGATTCTCCCCAATTCTCTGGAGAAGGCTATCGGTGTCTCGCCAAATGGGTCAGGCCACGTCAAAAGGGCTAAGCGATCATCTGGTCTATGTTTTCTCAAAAGAGAGGGGAAAAGGATGGGGATAACGAGAAGGATGATGGGGAGGGGAAAAAAGGAGGAGATGGGTGGGGGTTGGGGAATCAGAGAGAGAGAGAGAGAGAGAGAGATTTAGAGTCGTTGCTGCAATCGACACGATTATGACTCAATGCAAGTGTATGTAAGTGATTTTCTCTGTGTCTGTGAGAGAGTTAACAGAGCTCTCTCTCGCTCGCTCTCACTCTCTTTTTGCTGTCTGTCAGTGGAGCAAATTTTCACTTTCCGTTTGCTTAGTGTTGTTGTTGGGGGCCTTTCCATTTACTTTGCTGATTGCGATTGCAAGTGTGCGAGCGAGCAGATAGCACTCTCTCCTCTCTCTCGGCTGGCATATAATGTATGTTGCAAATAAAGGAAGCAGAGCAAGTAGGCGACTAAGAAGAAGAAGACGGAGGAGCGGTAGAAGGAAGAGTTTTGTTTTTAGAAACAGCGAGGGCGTAGACGCAAGGGGCGGGGAGGGAAAGGGGGCAGGGGCAGGGGGCGGCAGAAGGAGAAGCTAAATGAGGCGACGTCGACACAGACATACTTTTGCAATAGCTCTTTGTCTGTGTGCACCCGTCTAAGTGCGAATGTGTGTGTGTGAAATGAGTCCAATGTACCGACAACTAAAGGTGCAGAGAAAATATATTTAAAATAATAGAATTTTACTTTTTGAATAACTGATAAAGCCATAAATCCTTAATAGTCCTGTCCTTCTAAAAATGGGAAACTTAAAAACAGGGGCGTGATGAAATATAAAAATTGGTTTCTGTGAAAAATGGTTAAAGAAATAGATACAACTAGAATTTATTTATTGCACCCAATCTATGAAACTGTTTATATGAAGATCTAAAGCAACAGTTAATATTTAAGTAATACAACCAAGAAGGTTAAGTAACAAATAAACTCTTTTATTTTTCGCTGTGTAAGATTTAGCAACAAAGGCAAGGGTTTTGGACTAGTAGAATGGACCTGGGGGAAACGTTTGGGGTTTGACTGCCGCCGACGGCTCCTTTTGCCAGAAGAAGCAGAAAAGAGAGGGGACTGAGACAGACAGACAGCCAGTCGTTAAAGAATTTGTTGAAGAGGAAGCGCATTAGGTGGCACTGCTCCGCCTGCAGAAAGCTTCCACTTCTGCTCCTCCGTTGCCCACAGATCCTTGACTCCTTCGGAATCGGAATCGTTGGGCTTGGTTTGGGTGTCGACTGTGTAGCCGATTCATGTTTCAACAGAAGTCATTGAACAGCTAACGACAAATGCCGCACACTGGTTGGTTCGATTGGAAAACTAATCACCACGTTGGGGATAATCAAATGCTTGCAATGAAACAAAGTAGCTATGTACGTTTAAATGTTCCAATATTTCCGTTACTAAATTGCTTGGCAGTTTAATTTAAGATTTAAATAAGAAAAATCACAAATTTTAAAATCATTAAACTATCAAGAAACAGTATAGTCAGTTAAAGCATTGAAATCTAAATCGATTGAATCTTTAAACATAGTGAGCGGAAAGAAAGTTACCATTACAAAATTATATATAGACTAGAGAACTCTAATATATGTTTTATTTTTCGATAAAACCGAAACAATCTTCGCAACAAAAATCATTAAATAATTTATAATTTGGATAAGAAAAGAAAATATTAACTACCAATACTAGATTTATTTATACAATACAATATAAGTCTATTTAACGTATTCAAAGACGGAAATAATGATCCTGGCGCCACTGTGCTAAACTGGACGACAACAAAAGCGCCACCTACTGCCAGACAGGCGGTCGATGGGCAAGGAAGATGTCGGAAATGTATAAGCAGGGCAAACGTTTGGGGTTTCGTTTCGGGTATAGCTTTCAACTCGGCCGCACCAACACACTGATGCGGCAAAACAAACTGTATATTGTATATTGTATATTGAGCGCAGCGTCATCCAGAAATTTCGGCAGCAGAGCAGAGCAAAGCAGCGCAGCAGCGTCGGCGAGACGAAGTTTTCGGTGTAAACAGCAGTGAATGACCTTATATCATCTAATACACGCGCCGTGCACTCAAACCCAGCGAAATTTGTCGCACTGACTAACTGACAAACCGAACAACCAACCCAGCGACTAACTGACAAACCGACTTGACTGACTAACCTGCAGACTGGAGCTGAAAGCTGAAACAGAATCACAATCGCAATCTCCGCAGCCTCCCCATCCAGCTCCCCATCACCAGATTACGATGGCATCGCCGAGGCGACAAAACCTGCTGCTCTGCCTCTCCTTCGCACCAAAGAAGTTAAGGTACACAAGGCAAAATGTCATCCAAAAGTTTGAAACGAATAGGGAATCTTTCCATCTAAAAATAAGGCTACCTTTTGCTGTATCAAAACTGAACAAAGAAATATTTAAATTAATAAATTGGAAATAATGTTTTAAAACATAGATTATTAATTCATAGAGTCATCATCTAAATGTAATACATTTTCTTAAGAGCTTTGAAAATAATTTTAAAATTGTTAGGACTCGGCCAGGGTTTGGCTGAAGGAAACATTTTTGATTTCCCGGATACCGTACTTTTCTGCCAGTGGAATAATAGAAGCAGAGCAGACTTTGTAATTGTTACGGCTTCGATAGGGGGAAGTGGGGACATCTCTTTGTTCAGCGCTCGTAATCTTGCCGAAAAATTGTCAGTATAGTTTCTTTGTCTCTCCAGTAAAATGAAATGTGATTGCGGGGGCAAAAAGGACCCTTGTGGGTTAAACGAGCAACGTTTATAATGTCGTCGAATTGATGATTGCGACTTTGATGCTTGACGAGATTAGGAAGATGCTGCAGTCTGATGGATACCCGATATCAACTGAAAATTCGTGACCTGTTGGCGAATGGAACTTTAACGCTCGATTGGATGGGAAACTTGATGCATTTTACATTGTCAAAGAGGTTTTCTGATGAATTGGAAAGGAATTGGTAGGTGGGTTGCTCTAAACGATGACTCAGAGTTTAGTTATCAATCTTTACGAGTATGTATAGGAAGAAAAACAAAAATTGTAAAGGTTTGGTACCAAAAATTATTGAAAACTAATTTAACTAATGGAAATATATTATTTAGTAGATAGCTTAATTTAAATCATTAGAAATCTTCAGGAAGTTTTTACAGCCATCAAGAGAACACGTGTTCAAATGGCATTCACCTTTTGCGGCAGAAAATTAAAGCAACAACCAAAAAACATCTCAATTCAGCGGTTTTTCATTATCTCTCGGTCGAAGCCTTCAGTCAGTTTCAATTGTTTCCCCATTTTCAGTCATGAAATTGGCGAAAATGAAGACAAAATGGGTGCAGCATGCTCTTGACCATCAGAAGCAGCAAAAGGAATAAAAAGCAAAGACCACAAAATGTTCACCGCGTCATCTTTAATGGCAGTGGCAACGGGGCGTATGAGTAATTCGCTTGCTTATTTTGCTTGTAAAGCGGCAATTACAAGTGTCAACTTTTTTCAGGCCGCCAACAACTCTAGACCAAAACCTTGACCACGACTTAGGTGCGCGAGTTCTTAGCTTGTTATTGAAATGACGTAAAAGAAAAAAAAACGCAGCAGAATGATCAGAGTGCAGCGCAGACTTCACATCATAATTAAGAATTATGATGATGACAAGTTTTTGACGCTGATGCTGGCAAGTTTTTCCAGCCAATGTCAATGATAAGAAAACCACTGTTTCTGTTTATGTTTCTGGCTTTCAGTCAGTCACTGCCAATGACGAGCCAAGAGATTGTTGTCGTCGAACCATCTAAGACAATCCCATCCTAGACAATGACATCCAAGCTAGAGTCAACTTTTATGCGTTTTAATTAAACGAAATCGAAAGCGCCTGACGGACCAGACGAACCAGACGGACCAGACCGAAAGGAAATTGCTGATTGTGCTGCATGCAACATTATTCCGCTGTTGGCCATCGCAGTAAGTGCTTTACTGCTCGTTTGACCAGCAAACCCAGCT